AGCAAGAGGGGCAGGAAGGCTTCAGGGGAAAAGAGTGGGTGGGGCTGAGGTCAAGAGGCCACTTGATTTCCTCCTCATGACCCCTTTCCATGCTGGAGCAATGGAGGGGGAATTCAAGACAACCCTCCAATACTTAGATTCTATACGTGGAAATTATAACAAATCTTTACATTTCCCATATATAGAATCTAATTATTGGGATGTCTTATATTCAGGGTCACCTTGTATTTGAGTAAATATGGTAACAGTCAGCCGGTGATAAAATTCACCACCTTGAGAGGAATCACTGGTCTTGTGACAAAAACACCAAGCACAGCTTCAGAAGATGCCAGGTTAGATCCAAATCCTACAAACAACAGACTTCCTCCATGAGATGGGGTTAGTCATTAAAGTCCCAAATTCATGGAGGCTTCTGAGGCCCCTGTTACATATTACATACATTATGGAATTAACTGGTTAGCTGCACAATAAATTTAGATCAGCCATATTTACAAAGTAAAACTGGCCAGAAGTACAAAGTAATTATCACACATTTATCTGGTTAATTGCACAATAAATTTAGACTGTCCACAGGTGCAAAATAATTATTACGCTATAAAAGTGACTATCCAGCTGTAAAAGGAGCCAACCAGCTACAAAGCTAGTGCTTAAAATGTGTGACAACTCTATAGGTGGTCTCTATCCTGCTTTAATTTGAATGTGTAGCAGGGTCCTGGGTATTTATCTCCTCTGTACCTCCATGCCCAGTATGTATAATGCAGGTAATGATCTTTCCTTACCTCATAAAGCCTTGAGCATTATAAGCATTATAAGCCTTGAGCATCATAAAGATAAAGCCTTGAGCATTTGAGAGTTGTTCAGATGCAGCAAGCACCTGAACAGAAACAATGAGAAAACAAGGGCCTTAAGCATGAAAAGAATGATGTACAGCTGTATGAGACTATGGGACTTTCTGTCTCTGACTGCCGTAGGTGTTTGCAGAGTTTCAACCTGTTGACAATAATTTTTTTCCCCAGTTCAGTTGGCAATGAAAAATAAAAGCATTTAATTTAAAATCCCAATATAAACCAGGCAGTGCATGCTTAAGGTTTATTGTACACTTTGTATAATATTAGAAAAGCTTCAGAGTTAAACAATTTAAACTCCATCCTCAGGGTAAAATAATAAAACAAACTGCCATAAATTGGAGTCTAAACAAACATTTCTCAATGTATCAGGCATGCTGCTAGCTGAATTACTTGTTTAAACCTTTTGTAGTCTAATAATCTGGGCTACAGAATCTCTTTTGTACCAACCAGTTGCATAAGATCATTATTAAAAGGTTTCTAATGCTAATTAGTATAAAGAAGTTTCTATGCAAGAGATTAATTATTATAGCACTTTATGTCATGGCATTGTCCCAAAATTGCTTCTATACTTTAATTTCCTGATGAAATGTTCTCTCTCTCTCTCTGCTTTTGGGTTTTGGACATTATCACCTGAAAACAAAACAAGTTTTGTTTTTGTCTCTCGTTGGCATTCACAGAAACAGCAAATAGGTCAGAATATTGTTTTTGCTAAAAGTTAGAGCTCTTTTAGTACTTTCTAGTCTCTAAATTAGTATCTTGCATTATTATCACAGGACCTCTTAATATGCTATACACAAATATGAAAGCTCCTTTCTTACCTGACTAATCTCTACATTCACAAGAAGTCCACCTGGGCATTTCACTGGGATTTTTCACATTTTTCAGCGCCATCTGCTGAAATTTTAGCCGATTTTGAATTTTAAACTTCATTGCAGAACAACAAGGAAGTTTTGTTACCTCCCTGCCTGCCCTCTGACACCTCTGGGGAAGGAATTCTACCTGATCAACATATCAAAGAGTTACTCAACACAGCTCACAAAGACACTCTCATGGACCCAGAGGGACAGCCTTCCATCTCCAGCTCCCTCTGTGCAAAAATGAAGTTTATTTCCTACTTATGGGGACTTTTTACCATATTGTACCATCTACACTTTTCCCAGAGCCTGATGAAGGGACTTTGATCCTGAAAGCTTGCAGAAAAGGACAATTTTCTTGCCATTTTCCTGTTGTTTTAGTAAAAGGTATCATTTTGGAACCAAGAGTTCTAGTTTTTTGTGTATCTGCTGAAATAAGTATCCAAAGTATTGCAAACCCACAATGCAGAACTTTCAGCACAGCCAGCTGCTTTCTAAGGCTGCTTCAAGAATTTTTTCTCTCCTCTTCTCCCCTTGCTGCCTTTTGGTGGTTTTTACTTCCAGGTGCACTCAGTAAGAACTATCAACCAGTCAGTGCCTCAAGTGGCTGTTCAACATGCATAGAATTTCAATACACCTGCCTCTTACCTAGAAACATATCTTCTACTGTCCAGTTTCAAACTAGCTGCTCATCTGCCCTTTTCTGTTGACTGTGAGTCAGCACTAGAGAATGAAGGAAGAAAAGAGGCCACCATTTTTAATTACCTCCTACTTGAGGCTGTTTAAAAAAGCTTATACTTAGGTTTGTATTGGGTTAGAATGGCGCTTGAGAACTGACTCTCTCCACTTGTAGGCAGTTGTCTTCTCAAATACTTAACATCATCCTGTCACATAATATAGTCATACTCTGAAGAAAACTAATTTTATTCCTATTTTTCAAAATTAAGTTGGTTTCTTTTGATAACATAATCTCTTTGTCCTTGCAACCCACATTTCATTTTTCACTTTTTTCTCCCCTAAAAGAATAAAGGCAACAGAAAAAAAAGTTTTAGCTCAGCTTAGTAATTTGCATCATTCTGTTAATTCAGTGTCATGCCCTATCAAATCTGCCATGCTTGTTCCTTTTACCTACACTCTTTTTAACTTCACTATGTGAAGAATGAAGTTCGTGTTTGAAGACTAAAGATTAATTATGGACATCTGATTTTGAAACAAGTAAATGTACCCAAACTTTTTTCTTAAGAAAGTAGCTAGATTGCTGGTTAGGGCTATATTCACAAAGAGATCTATAGTCACAAGTCACCTAACGGCAGGCAGCAAATTCCACAAACCTCCCATGCAACCCTGGAGGTGCCTAAATTCCATGCTTAAGTTTCTTCTTTAAACTTGCCATTAATAGTGCCTAAATTCCTCTTGGTAGCTGTGTTGAGCCACTTAAGTCTTGGCAGCACTGAGTAACTTGGTGTCCCTGTGGCCAATTCCTAGAAGGGCTCCCCAAGGGAATGTGAGGTATATCTTAGTGCCATATTTGGGGGAAAAAAAACACAGGGCATGTCTACATGTGGCCATATGGTACATTTGTTACTGAGCCATCATTTAGTACATCCTTTTGGACATACTAAAAGATGGCACAGCAACAGCTCGGACTGTGTCGTGCTGGCCATGCAGTTATTTTTGGCTGCTATGTCACCATAGCAACATGCTATAATGAGAGAGCAGGTGGGCCATGTTTTTAGCAGAGGTCTTTGGTTTACTGTAGATATAGTACAGATACACTCGAAAGGAAGTGGAACTCGTTTCACTTTTTATTGTCTCTAACTTGATATGGCATTTTGTTGTACTAGTAAATACATGAGGTAATATAAGCATATGAAAACTTTGTTTTTGGGAGAACAGGATGATGGTATACCAAAACCCTGTATAGTGCTAAAATTCCTTCTAAGGTATCAGGATATATTATTATGTTGACATGCATGCTAGTGACAATGAGTCACAACTGTAAAATCTTGGTAGTGTTTCCCATATGGGCCGAACATTTCTTTTTATTATATTATTATTTTTTATTGTTAGATAGTAGTAATGCTTATCACGAATAAAAAGAAGGCATTGCTAGCTCTTATAAATTCAGATATGTAGTCTTCTATCATTACTAGAAAGCTAGATATACAGGGCCAGATATATCTGTGATATATTCTTAACATCTTTGATATCATTAAGTATTGGCATTGGAATTGCATAAGATAAAATGTTGCCACAGATTACAAATTTAAAGATAACACTTTGATTAGGGTACATAACAATTACAACATTTATGACAACGCTAAATGTAACAAGTTGAATGTAAATGTGTCTGTTGGATTTGCAGAGTAAATAGATTGCTTACATGTATGTATTCAGTGAAGGATGAATAGAAAGATTCTGGATATTATAGTTTCTAATCATCCTAAGAATCCTTTAAAATATCTATTGTGGTTACTGTCTTTCTTTTGATTTTTTTTGTTTTAAAGAAGACATTTGGTTTCATTCTTGTGAAGACAAGCTGTTTACATCTTTAGTATCGACTACGTGGGCAGGCAAAATATGGCCTAGGGCCAGATCTGGCTCACCAGGCAATTTCATCTGGACTGTGGGTGCCCACCAGCTAATTGTACCCCACCCAGCCGTTCTGCCCATGAGGGTGGGATGGAGACACCCACATATAAACCCCTCCCCAGCATACCCTATTGTGCCTCACTCCTACTCTTGTGTTCAGAAGGACCTGGCCCAGCCAGGGCTGATGTTGCCACTGCTGCAGCTGCCGGGGGACCTGCTTGGCTTCCCAGGCATCCAGCTCACTCCAGGCAGCAGGTATGGAAGTAGGGTGGCCATCATAGAGGACATTCCATTTTTCTGCTACTCTGTCCTCTGTCTTCTATTGCTATGAAACCCAATGCCTTTATGTCCTCTATTTTTCTCTTGAAGAAGGCCACCACCACCAGCAGCAGGTGGGGGTGCTCAGGGCACTCATGCTTGGCACAGGTGCTGCTGTCAGTGGCATGCAGCTCTGGCCAGTGCTGCATGTGGTGGCGAGGAGTGCAGCCCAGCCAGCCTGGCTCAACTGCCCCATTCGATGGAGCCAGATGCCTTCCCTGCTCCCTGCCACTCAGGTCCTGGCACTCTGTGGGGAAGCAGGTGGAGTCCTGGGACCTGCATAGCAGGGAGTGGGGAAGGGAGCCTGCTCCATTGCAGGGCTTCCTCTGGTGGCACACAACCGTGGGAGCTGCACATGTGCTGCAGGGAGCCCCGCATGATAGAGGCAGGCTGGCCTTGTTGTGTTTCTTACCACCACATGCAGTGCTGGCCAGAACTGTGCACTGCCAGTGGAAGCGCCTGAGCCAGGCATGAATGCCCTGAGTGCTCCCGCCTGCTGCTGCTGTTGCAGCTGCTGCTGCTGCTGAGGTGCTGTGCAGCATGGGGATACCATGTGTGGGGTCCTCACACCCACATCCCGCTCCCACAACTCCCCACAGATACACCTGCCCCACCCAATACCCTATTGCCCCTCATACACACAGCCATTCAGAAATGGACTCAGAATTGACTTGTTTGTGCTTCCCTAATTGCACTGTTCACCAGAGTGCATGAAAAAATAAACAGAACATATCTAATTAGGTTCATCTGAAGTCAGTACCTTCTAAGCACATCTTCCTGCATTCTGTTTACAGTTGTAAAGTTGTCTTCCTGAGGGCAAAAACATAGCTGTTTTCATGCTTCTGCTGTTCAGTCTTAATCTAATGCTTCTGCCCTTGGACTTGTTCATTAACATATTTTATTTTTGTCATATAGGAAGCTTGTTCACTCAGCATGTCCAGGGCTCCAATTATTAGTCAGAATCAAGTATAAGTTGTTGTTCTTTTCCATTGCTATATGTGGATGGGCGTCATACTGTTAAGTGTTTAACTTAAAAATAATGCATTATGCTCATAGTCTAATCAAGCATTACACTATTTTATATGAGTTGGTAAACTCAATGAATTCTTTATACAATGGGCTCTTACTGCTCTAAAATAGGGCCTGCTTTTTTCAAATCATCACAACTATGGCCTCTGTTTATACTGATCATGTAGGTGAAGCATATAATTTCCTGGTAACAGATTTAATTATTTCCCACCTCTAGAGCAACCTGAAGCACATATGCAACAGGTGACACAGGAAGCCTCTGTGTATGGGACACAGCAGCGTAGGGAGGGGACAGGCAGTTCAGTGGCAGATAGGACAGGAATCAGAAAGCAGAACAGCTGATTGGGCAAGGAAAGGGGATTGAAACAGCACTCAGGGTGGATGCAAGGCTATTTTGTGGCATGCTTACTAAAAAGGGTGGCCCCCACTGATTTTAGTTGGGGGCATTATAGTATCTCACCATTATGCCATGCTGAGGCAACTGATGGTGTCCAAAACCATGAGATGGTTCAGAGATATCTAAGTTGAACGTATCATGGACAAGCACCAGTATGTGGACCCCAGTTGAACACTGGCTGGAAGAAAATCAGAAGGGCTGCCTGAGCCCCCCCACTCCATCGGACTGTGACGAGAACCCTCATACCTGCACTCTCCCTCACCCCTGCAATTGTACCCCCACCTGGTGTTACTTGTATCTCTGTGCACTCTTCAAAACCCACCACTCTGTAACAATGCGGCTACCTTGTGCAGAGCATTATGTATTGTTTCTCCTTTCTCCAGTACCCTTTCTCCTTTGCACCCCTAGTTCTCCTACCCCCCCACCCCAACCCAAGCCACCCCTGGGACAAATAGGCTACATCATTACTTTGTAACTTTGTTGTATCCCCTACTTCTTTTACTCTCACAGACTATGTAGCCACCCTCATCTGGGTCTTTGTATTCCCTTCTACCCCTCTAACTTTGTAAATCTCCTTCTTAACATTCACTAATAAAGTTAAATCTGTTCCTGAACTGAAGTAATAACTGTGTTAATTTTACTTTTAGAAGGAAACAATATATAAAACCAAGTTGGGGGTAAAAAATGACTAGCGATAAAATAGGTGCAAAGTGTGACAAAAAGGGAAACATTGTAAAACATTCCTTGTAGACTTCAGTAGCAACTCAACGTTCAGACCACATGGGTCAAAAGAGTTTGTGACATCCACAGGCTGCAGTGGACTTCAGATCAGTCCCATTGTTAGTAAGAATACCAGAATCCGGCACTATATTTTTCATAGCAGTGATAGTTCTATATCAACAGCTGAGGTAATTTTCTATTAAACAGCAGATCTGCTAATCCACTTATAAAAGTGCATCTATGGTAGCACGGAGCCTTAAACCTTCTAACCTGCTCCCTGCCTTCTGGCCCCACTGGTGGTTAGAGCTCAGTTTTCTAGCTTCCTAGGCAAGTCTCCTAGCCACTCATCTATAGGAGCTAAATCACAGGCTGCTCAGTCTACGTATACAATGTGCACACATGCTCACATGTCCATCTGCTGGGAAATAGAATTGCTACCTGTGTATTAGTGCCAAAAGCACCACTTAGATGACCGAATGGTAATACACTTCTACCCTTTTTGTGTATTATAAAAAGTCTTAAACACCCAATGCTTATAGTTTACATTGAAATACCAGAATTTCTAAATAAGTTTTAAACATTTCATATAAAACTAAACCAACAGATATGAGCAATGAGAAAAAAATAATTTAAAACTATGAAACATATTTTGGTTGACAGTCTAATTTTTTTTCAGTGTGATGTAATGATTTCTCATAAAAATCATATCATTGTAAAACTGTATTTGTATAGCATTAGCCTGCAGATCAATATCAAATTACCTTAAATGAAGTCAGTGATACAGCACAGTATAAGCATTGCATTACATTTGATCAGGGTAAAGACTTCTAGTTTGCAAGTCGATCAGTGTGTTACCTGAAGGCCAATATAGAATTACATCTTAAAAATGACTGTCCTCACAATGTATAAGCTAATTCCTACCTCACCATTCAGGTTATACTCAATACTGAATTGGGTCTTCAGCTTCTGCTTTGTACTACTAACAGTGGAAATAAACACAATGGGCCAATTTCAGATCACTTGTCTCATACACTGTTGTCCAAAATTGGATTCCTGGTGTGAGAAGAGTGAGTGAGATTTAGCTCAATCTGCACTCTTTACAACACCACTGTTCTGAAAATGTAGGTTTCCACAGTAGGAATAATGAATCTATGACAATTTCTACAACTAGTTGAAATAATAACAATAAATAAACTTTCCTCTATCCCTGTCTGTACTATCTTAACTATCCCAAAAATATACATTTTTTAAAAAATTACTAGTACATAAGAATGTGCTGAAACTTGCTCTCTTTTTGGCAAACCTTAGCAGTACAGTCAAAAGATTATCTAAATCAAGACTTCAGTCTAGATCAGTTATTCTTAACCAGGATGCCATGTCACCCCAGGGTGCCTTGAAATCATTTTAAAGGTGTCACAAAATGATAACACTGTTAGGGGTGTAAACATGGTTCACAAGATGAACTCAGAGTTGTCATGCAAGAATCCATTGTGTTACAAAATGTTCTGCTCTGTTGTGATCTTTCTGAGTTCTTTTCAATGGACGAACTGTTCTATTATTTTTCTGTAGCCAAAAAAGGACAGAAAACTGAGAGTTGTCATTTTCTGAGGGGGTGCCTTAAGTTTATTAAGGGGAGCCTTGAGTCTAAAAAGATTGGGAACCACTGGCCTAGATAAATAAATGAAGTAAGAAGCTATTATTTTTTCTTCTTTCTCAATCATGAACTTAGGTATTTTTACTGGAGATTATCCCAATTTGCAGAGACTTCAAAATGAATTTCTAAAACTTTGATTTTATTGGGATTCTGGGCCAGAATCTGCCTCCATGTGCTGAGCAGAAGGTACCAGACTGAAGCTTCTCCCTCCCCACCCCTCCCACTGCCACCTCCAGGAGAAGTGCCATAGCAGCACCTGGAGAACTGTCCCACCAAAGCTGTATGCTGGTTGGGGCCAGCAGGGCTGTTCTACTCCCCTCACCTATAGCTGCAGCTCCTGCTCCCGTTGCGCTGAACCACTCTGGGTGGGTGGAAGCTTTGGCCCACTGGCTTCTGCCCAGTGCATGGAGATCTGGCTCCAGCTCCCAGTTGCCATCCATCCCCTCCACCTGCCCACAGGGTCTGCTCATCACACTGGGTAGGTGGAGGAGATGGAAGGTAGGCAGGAGTTGGAGCCAGTGCTATGACAGCCCTATCTGGCCTGGGAATGGAGAGCCAGGAGCAATCCAGCCGCACAGCTCCCATGGCCCCAACCCAAGCTGGCTCCTATACCCACCTTCAGCACTGCCCATGGGCTGGCCCAGGTCTGCCCCACATCCCCAGCCTTAACTGCAGGCAAGATAGGTGGATGGCGGGGCCACCCTGCTGGCTCTGGCCACACTCCTGCTCCTGATGCTCTAGTGGCAAAGGGGTATCCTGACAGGGGCTGCTCCGCCCAGCCAGGCAGACACTGGCTGTGGTCCCCAGGGAGAGAAGGGAGGGAGGTGGGAATAAAGCCTCTCACTGCCTCCATCACCTCAGATGGCCAGGCCAGGCTGACGTCTGGCCATGTCCTTGCCTCTGCTCTGGCTAGAGAGCAGAGGGGCAGGGCCAGCCCTGCTGTCTGCAGCAGACAGTCCAGCCCAGCCCAGCCCAGTCCAGGGCTGAAAAGCATGCTGGGATGCTGAGGGACTCTGGTTTAACTTAAACCAGGAAGGGGTCTGGGCCAGAAGTTCCATAAGCCGGTTTGACCCAAATCAGTTATCTGATACTACATTCAATCAGGTTTATCTTTAACCAGTTTTGGCCATTTTGAAACTGGTTTATGTGCACTGAACTTATATTCTGTTACAGGTTTTAACCAGTTTCTGATCACTTAAACTGGTTGGTGTGTAACTTCTGTCCCTAGCCTGAGGGAGTTATATTACTGAGCAAGATATTAGGAAGCTTGTTTTGAAGAGATGAAGTTATACACCTGAAAATGGAGGTGTTTTCAGTCAGTTATCTGGTACCTTTTAATTGATGCCTTGTTATTTAAGAACCAAAGATTCTTTCAGTGCAACCACTCTCAGGTAAGGTACTAATCAAGATTATCAAGGGTGAGACAATTTTGCTCTTAAAAGAAAAGAAAACAAACAAACAGTGATCTGGTTATATGAGAAACAAATCCTTTAAATGATTAAATTATTTAAATCTGGAATAAAAATCTGTTTGTTATTGGGCAGTCATTATCTAATGCTGTTTAACTCATGACTAAATAAATTAAATTGCCTTCACAA